AAAAGATTGATGGCATGCATAATAACATTGCGTTCTCGATCATTTTCCAATTGTCCAAAATTAAGAAGTAAGTTTCTGATTACACCAGTCAAATGTCGGCTTTGAATTTCATTCTCATTGGGACTTTTATCTGCATTGGTTGTAATATTAAACATTACTTTTAACATTTCACATAATAAATCCAAATGCTGATCAGTAATCTCTTTTTCTGCCAACTTTTCATCAAGCCACTCAGTCATATAAGCAACTCCATTTAAATCAAGTTGCACCCGTGTACGGGTAGCTGGTTCCATTGCCGTTATTAAAAACAATAATTTCATATCAAAAAACTCTACAGAAGACGGATGTTGTACTGATGAAGCGACACGTTTAAGAATAGCGTCTGTGATATTTGATTTAACACACTGACGACGGCGATCTGCACATTGGAATACTAAATTGCACAAACATTTAAGGGACTCAACGACGATTTGCGTTGTGTTATCACTCCAATGCAAAGTAACATCTTGAACTACTGCTCCATCAACATCTAAGTCACCTTCTTTGCGAGCAACTGAATCTGATTCTTCAACGGCTTCAGGATGTTCCAGATGAGCCAATTTAAGGAGGCACAACACATCTTCCTCTAAATCTTCTGCCTGCAGACTACACTTGTCACGCGTTAAGATACGAACGCTATTCAGAGTTAGAGAGTGTAGACCTACTAAATTATCATCTTTAAGAATATCAAACAGTGTGCGCCACATAGCGTGCCAGCACCCATCTACATGGAACATTGAAAAATCAAAAAGGCCGTCATTCTGAAAAGTATGAATGGTTTAAATTGTTTGTTGATACATACGTAAACATGTACATATGCATGTACACAATTTTCTTACGTACTTTCGAGTTAAATTCAGTTAAGATAGATTTGATTTCATCTGGATTTTTGCCACGCAATTGCTCTAATTTCTGCTCCTCCATTTTTTAGTTATAATCGCCGATATCCTTACCAAATTGGATTAGAATTTTCACGAATATATTCACATCGACTGACGTTTTACATGGTGGAATAATAACAACGTATTGTCAGTAGCGACATGTTTGTTGTAATTTTGACAATATCGGCATGCTTCTTTCAGTGCTGCCGATCATAATTTTTATCTACAATTTTTTAATAACTTGTTTTATCGCGTTATTTTAATAACTTGGTGTTTTTAGAACGAAATTAACACTGGAAATTTCTGGATTTGTATAAATTTTTTACTACAAATGTAAAAAAAAAATAAAATATATCGTGGTTATCAATGGAAAACCGTACACGAAAATCGTATGGAAAGGCGATTACGTTTATTTGAATTAAATTTTGCTGCATTGTCATAATATTGAGCCAAATGGGCTACTGATACACTATAATAGAGTGGTTGCATGTTAAAATTAAGAATTCATTTATATTTGCGATATTTATGTGTTTTAATCTATAAAAAAAATCATTATAGCCTTAAGAGATTAGCCATACAAAATCCATAATTATAAAATAATCTCAGATTAAACCGATAACTTTTCGGTGTCCAACCTAGTTTTATCGATTATTTTTGCGAGAAGCGGGGAATTGTCAAAAGTGAAAGTAAACAAAAATGGACGCTAGCAAGTAAAAGAGGGTTTCAAAGGTATTTTAGATAAAATATTAAGTTAAAATGTATTGTCGTTTAAAGTTCAAAACCGCGTATAAACAAAGTGAAAAACCACGTATGTGAATTATGTAAATTACTTTCTAGAGTAAAAACACTCGTATTTCAAATTGGTTCTCTCTTTATAAAGCAATCGGAATTCTGGACAGTATATTTCAGGACGAATGGATAAGGATTGAGCCAAGAGCTTGTGTGCTACGCGGTTTTGCAGAATTACGATACGCGGAAAAGGTAATTTTCTGGCTGACGTTCGTAATTTCGGCGCCATGTTATTTTCTTTGGAAAGTAAAGAATATGAAGAAGCATAAAGAAAAAATGCAAGCAATTTTGCAGCGCATGTTTGTGGTAACCAATTTATTATTTTGTACGTGTTGTTGCAACCAATCACCGCGCACTTCATTTTAATTACATTTGCACAAAAAATTTACTGAAAGTGCTTAAAAATCACTGAAGTAAACCACCGACAAAATACACATAAAGAAAGAAGCAAAACAGAAATAGCAAACTTCAAAATTACGAACGTCACACACTTTTTTCTCAATTGCTGCTTCTCAACCGGTCAGANCTGAAAGTGCTTAAAAATCACTGAAGTAAACCACCGACAAAATACACATAAAGAAAGAAGCAAAACAGAAATAGCAAACTTCAAAATTACGAACGTCACACACTTTTTTCTCAATTGCTGCTTCTCAACCGGTCAGATCTGTTCTAATTGGTTCATGGTTCGCTCTCTCATTCAAAATTGGAAATTTTCCATACTAATTACGAACAAAGGGTGCCGTCTCTAATTTTTATCGGAAATTTATCGAAACTAACTCACAAATCAAAACTTGCATTTTTTTCTGAGTACGAAAAGTAAGGTTTATAAATGAGTATATCTCTAATTTAATACAGAAACTTGAAAATTTTTAGGAAGAACCTAAATTTTGCATACAATTTTTCAGCGAAGAAAACAAAAACAAAACACAGAGACAGAGAACTGTAAAATCGAATTAAGAATGTGCTCGTGGGAATTGGGTAATTCGCGATCGTTATTGGGGGAGCGAACAAAGTAATTCAGGATGCCGGAAAATGGTATTAGGGAAGACCCATTATACTATGTTCGGACCGACATCGAAAACATGTTTTCGTTGCTAAAATTGGTTTTCGACCTAAAACTTCTGTTTTCGTTCATGTAAAATTTGTCAAACGAAAACCATATTTTCTCTTCTTTAAGATGCCAATTCGGGGTTATTGTTAATTGGATGGCCAAATTAAAATTTGGACAAACTAAAAAGGTTGCTAATGATAAGAAAATTAAAGACAAAGATTTTGATTTTG